AATACGAGTTGCTAAGCCTTTTCAAATTGTTTCCTTCAGTTTATGGGAAAGTGCTGATCTTCAAGTGCATCGTGACCTCTGTCAATTGTTGCTGGAGGATGTCATTCATCATGAAGAGGTAATCAGGAGTGCTGCATCAGAGGCATTGGAAAATGTCTTGAATGAATTCCCAGATCAAGTTGATGGTGTCCTTAAGAAACTCTTTGAGATTTATGAAGACAAATTAAGAGTAAGTTTTTAAAGCTCATAAAATTGTTCAAATATAATGTTTAATGAAAAAGATATACATTGCTATTTTTTTTTATACTGTATTCATTTTTTTTAAATGTTTCATGATTTTATGTTACACTATATATAAATTTAATATTAATGATGAGATTTTTTTTGGATAAAATTTTGTATTTTTCATATTCTTGTATTGCAATGATTTCAGACCTTTTTTGCCATTTGTAAATAGATAATAAGTATATTCATAGTTATTATATTTTGGGTAATTGTTTTTGTTGTTGTATTGCGGTTGCTGTTGCATTGTAGTTTTTTATGCCGTGGGTAGTAGGTAAAGTGATGTCATGACAAGAATGCATAACATTTGAATGATTGAACCCTTTGTTTTGGTATGGGAAGTTGAGAATCATAGAATCACAAACTCTCCCACAAAACATTATTTTTATTTTCTTCCCGCAGACTGTTCCGCCTGTATTTGATAATCTGGGACGAGTTGTAAAAGAAGCTCCCCCAGATGAATACACAGCCCGGTGTGGCATCGCCCTCGCCCTCGGCAAAATTTCACCTCACTACGGGAAAGACTCGATCCCTCTACTGTTTGAATTCTTCGTTCCTGGTGGACTAGGTGATCGAAACGAAGATGTCCAAAAGCATATGTTAAAAGCAGCACTGGCTATCATGGAGATCCATGGCAAGGTAGAAATAATATTTCTTTTTTAAATACTACTTTAGATTCAAAATATTTCTTTGCCCTATGCACTTTCAATGCAACCAGGTACATATACAAGCTCGTATCCTGGGGTGTAGGGTGTGATATGTCCGTATGCACCTCCTTCCCTGAATTGGAAATTGTCAACATTTTTAAGACAGTCGAGAATGTACTCAGTGTAAAATTAGTTATTTTCTAGTGTAGATAATCCTGCAGTATATACATTACAAGGCTGAAATTGATTAAAGAAAAGGCATTCAAACCCGTGCAATATCTAAGCTTTGATCCATCGGTTCTGCCCCTCAACCCCAGTTTTTCAATTTTTTTTTTGCACAGCCCACCCCGCAATCGCAAACCTGAATATTGATATATATTTAATTTTTTACTTTTTTCATTTTTTCTTTCTGCAGGATAATGTGTCCGTCCTGCTACCAGTCTTCCAAAAGTTCCTGGATGAAGCCCCAAATTCGTCCAAATACGATGCAATCCGCCATAGCGTTGTTATCCTAATGGGATCACTGGCAAGACATCTTGACAAATCTGACGACAGAGTGAAACCGATCGTCAGCAAATTAATTGAAGCATTATCAACGCCGTCTCAGCAGGTACCAGATGTTACTATTATCAATGGTTCATGTTTTTGCTATTCCCACAATTTCTAATTGTGTTATCTATGACAATATCAGTATTTTTACTGTTATTATTAATTTTAAATAATATGATTGTTAATAATATTTATCTTTAATGGTTTAATTTCTCACCATCATTATTAACTTTAAAAGTGCTGATATTTTTCCCCTCCTAGATGATCCAATTATATTATTTTTGTGCTGATTAATATTCAGGTACAAGAAGCAGTAGCAAACTGTTTACCACCTCTCATTCCTGCAATCAAGAATGATGCCCCAGCTCTCATCCAGAGCCTCTTGGCCCTACTACTAGAGTCCAAAAATTATGCCGAGAGGAAGGGGGCAGCTTACGGCCTAGCAGGGATTGTGAAGGGGCTTGGAATTTTATCATTGAAGCAGCAGAAAATCATGTCAACACTAGAAGATGCTATACAAGATAAGAAGAATCCTGAAAGAAGGGAAGGTAGAGTTGACATCAGTGAAATATTCTAGGCTCAGGTCCCAGTGAGTTGATTGGTTTTCATTCTGGGTCCTGTGGCAGTGCTAGCGAGAGGTTCACAGGGGAAATTCACCTCTCCTGTCAGTCAGACAAGCATGGGACCACCTGTTGTCCGATACTACGACAAGGTCTTCAAACTAAACATTTTAAATGCCGATTGAAAGTTATTGTGATTGCCAATCCTAATATAATATTTGAGGTCATCCTAATAACCATTGTTATCATCATTATTATTATTATTGTTGTTATTATTGTTGTTGTTATTTTTATTAATTTTATTATTGTTAATATTATTATTGTTATTATCATCTCATGGTTTGTATCTTATTTCCAGGGGCTTTGTTTGCATTTGAGATGTTATGTAATATGTTAGGCCGTCTGTTTGAACCGTATGTAGTCCACGTTCTGCCTCATCTTCTACTCTGCTTTGGAGATGGTAACCAATATGTCAGACAAGTAAGTGCAAGGAAACCTATTAAATGTTTTCGTTTACATCCATTTTGAGGAAACCAACATAATATGATAACTGATGTATGATAATGTCGCCAGAAAATACTTTTACTTTTATTGTCAGATTATCTGGTTGTATCCATCGGAATAGCGCCCCCAATGAACAAAAGTGAGATCCTCTATTGCCGCTGAACAAGCATGCGCAGCTCAAAGTGAAATATATATATATCGGCTAAATATTTCTTGCTTCAAAGGAAATTTTATGTCAATGTATTGGTTTAAACATTTTCTTACATAGCTGATGTAACATTTTATATTTTCTATTAAGTGTTTTTGTAGTTAAAAAGGATGGTTCATAATGACGTCGTCGCCTCAAATCGAGTTTGTAATACCAAATGGAGGGTTCATAATTGGGAGATGTTACTGTATAGTGCATCACATTTGTAAAACTACGTAATAGGGTCTCTGCCTTTGTATCTCTTCTAACATATTGTCCCTATTACCCAGGTCCATTGTCAGATGACTTTTATTTTGGAATATAATGCCGGTTGTATTTGAAGATACAATAAAGATATTTATAAATGAAAATTGGATTGACATTATAATGATTGATGCATTGTCTTGTAGGCTACTGATGACACGGCTAAGGCTGTGATGAGCAAGCTTAGTGCTCACGGTGTTAAGCTCATCCTACCGTCGTTACTCAAAGCTCTTGAGGAAGATTCCTGGAGGACCAAAATCGGTATGTAGTGAAATGTGTACACACTAAAGATATACTTAAATGTGACCTATGCGATTCGACTCAATTCAGCTGACATCAACTGACCTTTAGCATCTTGACAGGAAGTCTGAGAAGCTGGCAAGCAAAGCCGGGCACACCGCGCCCGATGGTCGTCTACCGACGTGATTCCATGAAGAATGCAACACTACGACGCAGGCGCAACGGATTGTTTTTAATGATGATCTGTTCAGACGAGCACCCAAAATCATTAGACGGAGTCGCATGGTCTAGCGCTTAAAAAGAGCGGAATTGATTTCGTCGTACCACCGTTGCACGATGCAGTGTGTCCCTGGCTTAACTGCGAGGTGCGTGATTTGAGGCGATAATAATGACCTCTCCATTTGCCAGTTTCTGTAAATTGCTCATGTTCTTTGCTGCATTTCAAAGCAACTGACAAGCGATTGAATGGATGTGTGACAGTGGTAACCAAATATAATATCTAGCCTAAATTCCATGTTGTTATTGTTAATCTATTTTTATAATTTCCATGTTATTGTTTTTTTTTAAATATGTTAATAAATTAACAGTTGTAGTACCTTTGTCATGTTTCAGGTTCTGTTGAACTTCTTGGTGCTATGGCTTTCTGCGCCCCTAAGCAGTTATCCTCATGTCTACCAAGCATCGTCCCAAAATTAATGGAGGTCTTAACTGATTCCCATGTCAAAGTTCAAAAAGCAGGGGCCCAGGCTCTGAAGCAGATTGGCTCTGTCATCAGGAACCCAGAAATCCAGCGTGAGTAACTAGATTATACTGCCCTCTGTAGGTTTGAACTGTAGTTGTTTTCCAGGAGAAAATTAATATTTAAAAAATTGTTTTCGAACTTTGAGGCAGAAAGAAGACATACTAATACTATATTTTAGTAGTTGTTAACATAATTAAATAATCATTTAATTATTTTTCAGAAATTGTGCCAATTTTACTAGCAGCTTTATCAGAACCTTCAAAGAAAACATCAAAATGTTTGAAAGCATTATTAGAAACCAAATTTGTGCATTTTATCGATGCTCCATCCCTTGCACTCATCATGCCCGTTGTAGCCAGGTCATTCCAAGATCGTTCAACCGAAACGAAAAAGATGGCAGCTCAGATTATTGGCAACATGTACTCACTCACTGATCAGAAGGTAAGTGTATAGATATTTTTTACATCATTATTATGATTATGATCATGATTATTATCATTGTTGTCTGTATTATCATTTTTTTTCTTCATCACCACCACCACCACCTTGTCATCATTATCATCATCATCTTAATCTTCGCAAGTCATACTCATTGTCATCATCATCATTATTATTTTCATTATCATCACAGGCCTCGAATTTTACCGTGGCCAATGCCGACGGTGCCCTCCCAGTTGGCCTTGGTGCCCCTGAAAATGAAGCATGACGACGGCCACTACTTGCCTGCCCTTTTGAAGCCTTGGCCTCGGTGCCCTCACGATGCTTAATATAGATCGTTTGACACGTAAAATAAATCTAAATAAGAACGTTTAAATCTTGAAAGAAAACACGAAAGCCAAAAACGTAGGTCGCCTAAGCTAGCCTAGGCCTAGATAAAGTTGCAGTGACAGAACATGAGAGAATTTCCATGTGTGTTGATACGAACTGTTTTTGCGGTTACCGTTGTGTGCGCATGCGTCTTACTCGAGCGGTTATTGCAGTAAATATTGTACTGTAGTTGTAAACATGTTCTTGCTGTGCAGCTAACTTTGGGCGATCTTACGTCATCGCAGCTTAAGCGTGTAAAATTAACGTAATCGATTGACACGCGGCTGATCTAGTTCATGACGGCCAGTTTAGAGTTATGGCTTCCTATCCGATGACAACGCACTGAGCAAAACACAAGATATCAAATTTCTTGAAATTTGACTGTTTTGCACGATCGGCGACCGCCGCAGTATATTCCAACATTGAATCGATAATTAATAGTTAATACTCTAAACAAAGTCATACTACCATTGACAACAATGGCTTGGCTAGGCCTAGCTTGGCTTGGCCTAGGCCTAGCTTGCCTAGCCTGGCTACGATGAATCAAGGCACGTGCGAGAAATAGTTTTATACTTGAAATTTTGGCCTTGTGGTGCCTTTCCATTTGGCCTTGGTGCCTTCAAAATCCATTTGGCTTTCCTTTGCCTTTCCATTTGGCCTTGCCCATAAAATCCCCAAATTAGAGGCCTGTCTTCATCATCAGTCTTATTATATTCACCATCAACTTCATTCTCATAATTCTTAAAATCTTCATAAAAGATTCTCTCTGTCATAATCCTCATAAATCTTCTTTACCTTAAATTATTATAAAATATTTTTATCATCATCATCATCATCATCATCATAAATTATCCTTATCATCCTTATCATAATACATTATCTTAAATAATGCTCATCACCAACTTAATCATAAATAATACTCATTATCATTGTCATCATCATCATTCTCATTATCATCATCCTTATTATCATCTTCATCATCATTCTTTTTAATTTCCCCATCAACTTCATCCTCATAATTATCAACATCTTCATAAATGATTCTCATTGTCATAATCCTCATAATAAATCTTCTTTACCGTAAATCATCATAAAACATTTTTATCGTCACCATCATCATCATAAAGTATTCTTATCATGATGCATTATCTTAAATACTGCTCATTACCATTATAATGATCAATGTTTCATAATCCTCATAATAAATCTTTATCTCAAATCATTATAACACATTTTTATCATCATAAAATATCCTTATTGTCTTTATCAAGATGCATTATCTTAAATCATGCTCATCACCATCATTGGCAACCTTAGCATTATCATCATCTTCACATTCATAATCATCATTTTCTCATCATCAAATTCATAATTCAGAAGCACTTATATTAACTCTGTGTCATTCAATAGGACCTTGCTCCATATTTGCCATCAGTAGAACCAGGGCTGAAGGCCTCCTTGCTTGACCCTGTGCCTGAGGTGCGTAAGGTGTCAGCTAGAGCGCTTGGTGCCATGGTGAAGGGAATGGGTGAGGCTAGCTTCAACTCATTGATGCCATGGTTAATGGAGAAACTGACATCAGAACAGAACTCTGTGGACAGGTCTGGGGCAGCTCAGGGTAATGTACCAACTATTTTAAATTTTGTTTTCTTTACCATCAAAAAGATAAGGATGTGTGAATGAGAATGTTGATTTTAATTATGCTTTTCTACGTAATGTTTCCATTTTGTGTTGGTCATCTGATATCACATATTTCAGATATATATAATTTAAATTTGTTTTTCAAAATTGTTTTCTTTGCACATAATGACATTATTTATAAGTATATTAAGTACACGTGTGTTTATCATTTCTATGACATCTTTTGTGACCTGTACTATTTGTATGATATTTTTTATTTTATATGCTAAAATACATGTAATTTAATTTATGTTTATTATTTATCTAATATGTTTTGTAGACCATAATTTTTTAGAAATCAAATATTATCATTAAAGTATTTTGGTAAGTTTATTTGACTGCAAACAGTAGTATTTGAAAAACTTTTAACTTATATTTTAAATTTTATGAATTATCATTTTCATCATTTTTTACGTAAAATTTGTTCAACCAGGTATGAGTGAAGTGATAGCTGGTCTTGGGATCTCAAAACTAGACAAACATATGCCAGACATTATTAAGACTGCATCAGCTGCAGACATCCCACCCCACGTGAAGGATGGATACATGATGATGTTCATTTACCTACCGGGTACATTTGGTGATAAATTCCTGCCATATATCGGTAGCATCATTATTCCAATTTTGAAGGTATGTCTGTAACTTGATGGTTTTACTCGCTTTCTTGGCCAGGTAGCTTCTACAGTTTGCTCCGGCTGCAGCTGACTTCTGCAGTCTTCATCCCAGCCATACTATATATCTTTGAAAGAGAAATGATAAATTATGATTTTCCTTATCATTAATTTTATAATTATGTAAAATAATTAATATAATGTATAAATATATTATCTTATCATTAGTAAGTACCTTGTATTATATTCATTCATTCATTCATTTAGTACTTATTTCCATTTTTTCTTTTTTCTTTCTTCAAACAAATATTAAAATCATAAACATATTTCATTACCAGTTAATAAACATTACAAATCAATATTAAAATTATAAAATATAAATTTAAAGAAAAGAAGGAATGGGGAATTTCTGAAGCAAGCTTATAACCCTGGTTCTTAAAGGCGGCCCACAGAAGCAAATTATTCTGGCCCACAAGAAAAAATTGAATTATAAAAAAATATATTTCAAGAAACTAAAATTAATAACCATTCAGTGAATATATTTTCAATAAGTGAAGACCAAAACACAACACTAGGCAAATACGAAGTAAGGGTGACCCCACACAGATCTAGAATTAAATCTGTTACCAGCCAATCGACAAACGCCTAAAGATTGGTGGTCTTAGTTCAGCTAAATATCACATAGCAAATTAAAATTAAAAACATTATCAGAGACTTGCTTTTATTACAAGAAGACCCAAGATTTTACAGGCGAAATGTTTTTAGGCTTTAAATAAAGCCCTGGTATTCGGTTGATATAGGATAAGTGAAATCACACAGAAAATACTGATTGTCTGCCAAACTACTAAGTTGAATAAACTTTGTATGGCTGATAAAAAAAAAAGACTTGTGTTTTTGTCACGATTATGCCTGTAACTTCACGTTTGGTTTGAAAATACTCCTACAGGATTACTTTACCAGGGAGTTGTTGTATGAACAATGTCCGAGCAGTTAGCAATTCGTTAGGCATAAGAAGCAAGGTCAATATGGTAGAAAAAATATATCTAATTTTACTCTGGTTGGGGTTTTGGGAGAGGGGGAGGAATAGCCCAATTCAGGAAACTATACTTCGCCTACAGTTGTACTTGCACGAAGAAAGGAAGACACGACAAGTTCTATTACCAGTCACCGACAACATTTAACTTTCAGCGACCCTGAAAAATATTTTTGGCTTGAAAATATGCTTATTTTTAAAATTTCAAATCTGAATAAATCTGCTTATTATTTGGCTTATGTAACTATTCGAGGACGCTTTGAATGCGGCACTTTACCACTTATCATGCTAAGTTCGCAAAAAACTATAATTTTGCAAGAATTGGTGGTGCTAGTTGCAGATTCAGATTCCCATCAGAGAGAGCTCTCTCAAAGAACTCAACACATTCGTTAGGGAAAAAATATGTAACTTTTTACGGAATATGAGACTGTAAGATTGATTACAGGCCTTAAGCACTCAAAATTACTAAATTGGTAGAGCCTCCGGGGGCTTAGCCCTGGACACTCTTCAGATGTTCTGGGACATCCCCCCTCCCCTGCCGTTGGGCAAATATTGGCGCCAACTTTTTTTTGGATGATTTTACACAAGCAACGAGTAAAAGATGAATAAGCAAGAAATAATCAAATGAAGTGTGCTAATACTACGTTAGGCAAAATATTATATCATCCTTATTTATTTATTTACCTTATGAATTTATTGTCCTAATATTTTGCTGTAGTACAATCAAAAATAGAATAGAATTTGAAATTGCCAAAAAAAACTTCAAACGTCTGTGCGGCCAACAGGGGCCTCTGGCCACGGTATCTCAGAATTTTACCTTAGGTCTAAAAATTATAGCAAGATACTTGAAATTCAGAGATTTTCTTTGGTCTGTGACATGAAATCTAAATATAATTTGACCCTTTTAATAAATGAATTAAGTTCCAGGGGGTTATAGCATGAAAAACTCCCTGATACAAAAATATTAATTCAATAATATATATGCAGGCACTATGGCACACAAAAAACATAGAGTATAAAAAAGTTTAAATTTCACTTTAATTAATAAAATTCAAACATATTTATTAAATGATTTGATTTCTATAATATATAATTAATAATTATGTTCATCATTAAATTAATATTTACAGCATTTTTTTTTCCTTTTTGCTACAAAAAACGAAATTAGTATAATGACTTTCAAACACTATTTTTATTTTCAAAGGCTTTAGCTGATGAATGTGAGTATGTACGTGACACAGCATTACGTGCTGGACAGCGTATCATCAACTTATACGCTGATACTGCTGTGACCGTATTCCTACCAGAGCTGGAACGAGGTCTATTTGATGAGAATTGGCGTATCCGTCTTAGCTCCATCCAACTGCTTGGCGATTTATTGTACAAAATTTCCGGAGTAACTGGCAAGATGACGACAGTTGGATCAGAGGATGACAACTTTGGAACAGAGCGATCAACTAAGGTAACTATGCAGTGAATGGCATCTTACCTTACATCTGCTTCGCGTCATATGCCGCATAAGGCCTTGTGATTTCTGTGGTAAGTTTTCCGTAAAATGAAGCAAAGCTAAAATTGACACTCTTTTCTACATAGGCGATAAAAAGGGTGCTGGGAGAAGAGCGTCGTAACCATGTGCTTGCTGGACTCTATATGGGTCGGTCTGACACAGCCGTGCTGGTTCGTCAATCTGCGCTACATGTATGGAAGGTCGTCGTGCACAATACGGCTAGAACGTTGAAAGAAGTATTACCAACGCTATTCTCGTTGCTTATAGGATGTCTTGCTAGCACCAGCTACGATAAGAGACAGGTTGGTTCCATGATTTTCTAATTATAAATGATTTTATAGTCTCATTTTTATTGTTTTTGTTATTAAGCGCTTTCCCACAAAGCAGTACAAAGTGAAAACATAATAACTAAAATATGCTCACAAAATGCTAAAAAACAACAATTTAACAATCGCCCATTTTTACACCTTTTCCCCCAGTTTTTAAATATTCAAAAATCTGTATCTCATTCACCGTTGCTCAGTTTTTGATCAAACTACTTTTTTCTGTCTTAGAAAAAGCAGTTCTACAACATATCAACATTTTTTTTTTTTTCCGGAGCCTGACTTTAAGGCCCCATTGCAAAAAGTGACTTATCTCCAAACGATCTTGTTGTGTGGATGGCCAGACGAGTAGTCTTGAGGATCTAAGCTATTGGCAATCTGAGTCATATTTTTTATATAGGTCATATTCATATAAGGTCCTGCAAGTAACAAGGTGATAAATCGTGGAAGCAGTTGTGCATATACACTAAGATCTTAAAGTCAGTTCTCTGCTGGGTAACTGACTTATAAGAGGAAACATATTTGATTATGCCTATATATTATATACGCTTGCTTATACCAGGCTTGCTTATACCACACACTAGATGGCAATCTTTTTACCAGAAATAAGATGCATAAAAAAATTTAAATTTAGTGTAAGGAAATGATACTACATTAATTACTTTGGTTTTTAAACTGTTGCTTTGAACAATTCAGGTTTAGGAAACTGCAATGGGTCTGTGTATCTATTTATTTGTTTGTATTTATTCAACAATATTTCATGTGAGGGGCCCTAACAGCAATGCTGACTGAAATGACCCTCAATATTTTAAAGCATAAATATAAAGATACATTTTGTAAACAATTTTAAAAATTTATAACATTTTATTGGGTTTATCACATATCTAAAATCTACCCATGATACAGCTTAAAATAACAGTAAGATTAAACACCACATTTATGATAACAGACAGATTAAAATTATTTTTTTAATGAAATTAAACTAAATGGTATATTTTCTTCATGATTATCAGGTTGCGGCAAGGACACTGGGTGATCTAGTACGTAAGCTAGGCGACCGCGTGCTACCCGAGATCATTCCAATCCTAGAGGAAGGTCTCAAGTCCGGCGATGCTGATAAACGTCAAGGGGTATGTGTCGGCCTTAGTGAAATCATGGTCTCAACGAGTAAAGATCAGGTAAATGCCGCCTTGGTTTTCATTTTCGTGTTTTTTACAAATTTTTAACAAGATGATAGTCATACACAAACCAGATGAACATTTTTCAGCATGTATACATTATTTACGTCCTTTTTGGTTTATAATGTTTCGTCCTGTTTTTTTCCTCAACCCCACCATAATTACCTGTGTTTTCTTAGGGTAATGAAAACAATGATTTTAAAGTTCAGTGATCTCAGGGTTTAACATACTTTATGGGACAAACATCCAGTCATGTCACAATTAATTTAATGAGACCGCATAACCACTTTGTTAATCTTAAACCACAATCCGCCTCTTTGAACATTAAATCCAGAAATGTTCAGACCACCTGCCCAACCACAATCTCCTTCCTTCGTATGAACAACATCCCCTGGTTCAATAATGTTGTTACCAAATTAAAATCAATTTGCTTTAATCCCTGTTAAGACTGTTGAATTTTGTTTTACAAAAATATGTAACATGTCTAAATATGGTCTTGATGACATCACATCACGACCATATATAGGTACATCATGACTATATATGGGCATACAACAGTTTTTTGTCATTTACACTGGATCCAAATTTTCAGATTTAAAAAAGCCTACCACTGAAAAACAAATCAGTGTGTAAGAATAGGTATGCTGGAATTTAGCGCATTGGAAACATGGTCCATTAAAATATACAGTGTGAAAGAGACTTATTTGGTGGTTGCTATATGGACATCTGGCTCAGTAGTACGGAGCGTTTTCCAAAAAAAAAAAAAAAACTTTTTCTTTTTGCTAAAATACTTAATAAAATTCTATTTTTAAATTACTTAGTACTTTTAAGTATACCATTAGCTTTCAATTAAAAAGTAAATTTTTGTTTTATGTTCAGTTGTAAGATGTATAAGTAATAATGCTTTTATACTCCTATCATAGAACTTTGATAATGCAGGTAATCTATTTAAGGATTTATGTTTAATTGAATATTTCTAAGATTTTCTCACAGCTGAAAAATAAATTTTTACAATTTAATTAATATTTCCCTTGAATTCAATTTACCGATAATTGTAGAGTGCAACTATCATGCAAAAGATCAAATAAGTTAACACCTTTTAATTCAAAACATAATTGGCTTAATTGGATGTAAGTATTTTATAATCTGTGATATTTGAAAACGTGTTTCAGCATTTTATAATTATTATTAGTCATACATGTAATTACTTTTTATTTAATGGTGAGAATGTGAACTTGATCCTATTCAACAGGATTTCATGTAAAACTATATTTCAAAATGTTGTTTTATGACGTGGGCAGAGCTAGCGAGAAATCTGGGTCTGGGGCATGCAGCATGCGAAGCACTGAGCAAGATTGTAATTTGCACTAGTACCTATGGCATTTAAATTTTAAAAATTAGCTTGCTTTGGAGCCGTTCAAAATGGAAGCAAGTGGGCGTGACACTGAGCCGTTGGGCAGGCCACGCCCACTCGGGACCACATGGGAATCTCCACCGAATATTGGTACAAAAACAACGTACATTCAATTAATTAATGCTGTTATTATCAAACGTAAATATGATTTAGCTTTAGTTTAATGTAACATTCAATAAGTTTGAAGAAAATAAAGAATTTGCTAAAGGTAGACCAGGCCCAATTAGCCTAGGCAGAGCTGATTATGCCAAGCCGTCCAAGCCGTCACAGTAAAAGTAGCCGTCCCAAATAATTGTAGGCCGTCCAAAAGACGGCCGGACGGCTCACTGGCTAAGCCTATGCTTTGGAGTACCATGCTCCGACTCTTAACATTCTTTTCTTTCTGTTCAAAAAACGTTGAATTTAATATGTTTCTACCTTTTAAATGCAGCTTATAATTACAAGTAATTTGTGTTTTAATATTTCAAAAGTTTATATAAAAAATGTCAGTATGGTTATTAATAAATAGTATGGTTACAAACTCTGATTTTAGTGTAGGCCTACTAGTTGTTTTGCGATATATACTTTGGGCATTTCCAGTTTTGTATTGCATTGTTTAATAAATGAGTGCAGAGGGTATTCTTCAAGTCAGTTTTGCCTGTGAATATATTAGTCTTACGCCATCCAAAAAATAATTTAGTCAGAAATTTAGTCTTAAATTTTTATTAAGCAGATAATCTGAGATATTCAAATCTAAATTTAGTATTTTATTTATATAATTGTTACTCGTATATTAATTCATTGTGTTCTATGCAGGTTCTGTCATATGTTGATAATCTTGTGCCCACGGTAAAGACTGCCCTCTTTGACCCATTGCCGGAAGTCCGTCAAGCTGCTGCCAGGACGTTTGATCATCTACATAGTACTATCGGTAAGGAATGCCTACCGCTCTGTGGCATCTATAATCATAGACATTTTGGGGCCGTCCAAGTCAGGTGTAATTGGAAACTTGAAATTATCTTGGAAATCCATTAAACTGTTAAAAAATTTCTATTAATGTATTTAAGTTGATTAAAAATGAGCTTTTATAGTAAGTACTTCAAAATAATAAGAAAGTTGATCAAAAACATTATGGAAAAGAAGATTTATTGATTTAGTTCTTGCCTCAGGATTTAAATAAATTATATCGTAACGGTTCATTCTTTAAAATATAAGGTACGCAAAATTTAAACAATTATGTAAAATACTTTTTATTTTATATTTATAAATATGTAAAATCTTTTTACTTTTATATTTATGAATTATGTAATATGTTTTAAGAATTGGTTGATAGGTGGTATATGTTTAATATCATCTAATTGTGAAGATTTGAAATTTTAAAAAATTGCATTTATAGGAAATCGCGCTTTAGACGATATTCTGCCTCCGCTACTTGATCAACTAGATAACGAAGAGACCGGTGCATACGCTCTGGATGGACTGAAGAACGTGATGGCGGTTAAGAGCCGCGTGGTCCTGCCATTCCTCGTCCCTAAGCTGGTACAGCCTCCTGTTAATACTAAAGCATTGTCCATTCTCTCGGTGGTTGCCGGCGAAAGTCTGAGTAGGTTCCTGACACGTATCCTACCAGCTATTTTATCCGCCCTCAAACAAAAGATGGGCACGGAAGAGGAACAGCAGGTCAGTGCCAATAAGCTAATTCAAAGTTTGAACTGCAGATGCCCATATTAAAGATAACTCAAGGTCGATCAACATATACCTACTGTATGTTGTGTGTATGTTTGTTTATGTTGAATGACTTTGATATGAGCATGCGCATTTCAAGCTACTAATTAGCTTATTTGAATAAGAGCATGAATGACTTTATTCCACAAATTTCAAACAATATATCAAAATTATATTAAAATTAAATATATAAATAATGGAATTTCCATAGTTTGCATGTAACCATTAAATTTCTGATAACTTATTTGTGATTCTTTTAAATAAACAATTCAAAGTTTAATTTTTATTTATGCAATTTTTTGTATCAACATTTTGTTGCAGTTTATATTCAAGGTAAACCAAAAAAAGTTGAAATTACATAAAGAAAGCATAATATGCTGAGAAGGGGTAAACCAGTAGATTGATCTCTTTAAAAACTTCAGAACTTTTAAACATATTTGGTGCTCTTTTGAACCGATACTTTCTAATAAAAAGAAACGTCTACTTTAGGAGCTGGCATACTGCCAAGCTGTTGTACTATCAGTGGTTGACGAGAACGGGCAGGTTGTCGTCCTTACCGAGCTTCTGCAGGCCACAAAACATGAGGATTCCGGAATACGCTGGTCAGCGGTCGTCCTCCTCGAGGTCATTTGCAGCAAGGGCAAAATGGACTTAACTGAATTCATACCTCAGTTGATGCGGGACCTCATCAAACTGTTTAAAGATAAAGATCAGGCCGTTTTGGAAAGCAGCTGGAATGCCCTCAATGCTGTTGTTAAGGTTAGACTTTTACTGTAAAACCGGTAATTTTTGCGCGAGTAAGTAATACATACTTCACCTGTTATTGAAATTTCTGGATTAGAAGGCTAAGATAATCATTCCTATGTTTAGTCTATCCTAAAAAATCAATAATGGCTAAGTTACCAGGGTATTCCCTCCTGTGTAACTATAACTACCCTTTATCAACAGTAAAACTACCCTTTATCAACAGTAATTTTATACAGTAGATTTATGTGACAAATATTGCCTTTAGCCTTCCTACACATGGTAGAGGTCAGCTCCCTACAGGTTTTACAATATTTACCAACCTGTTCACATGTGTACAAACTGTATATGCCAGGTCCTAGGGGAGGATAGCCCCTTGTACTAAATAAGCCCTTCAGGTTTAATAATATCAGAAAAGCATTTATCATTAGAGGCAAACCAAATGACTAAGTACCCAATGAATTAATTTTTATTTGAAATGTCTGCGAAAAAAAACCATTTTAAGTAGGGATATTGGTAATAATAAACAATTTGTTTCTGTTAGTCATACAACACGTGTATAGGAATTGGTTCCAGCTGTGTATTAAAGCTGAAAGTTACATTTACTTGGATATTCTACTCAAATATCACTTCAAGTAAACACAGAAATTCCTGTTAAATATACCTTAACAAAGAGCTCCCGCCCACCTTGGATACAGTTGCCAAGGTTCCACAAATATTGGCAAGTGCATATAATGAAAATAGGTGTTGCAGTGGTTTATCACACTCGTGGGAATTATAATCTAAATTTACTCTCTAACTACAAGGCCTGATTGACAACTTGGAAAAGTCTTTTCTAAAGCATGATGTAAAGAATACATTAACACTAAGTCCAAGTTAAAAAGAAATTTGTTTTTTGTCTGACCTCATTTAATAAAAAAGGAATGGAAGATCCTTTTCTTAGCTGTCAAAATTTGTTTACGTCGTCTTAGGGCTACAAATACTGAATTTAGTCTCTACTTGTCAATGTAGAAAAATATGAAAATTACAGACATAATTATGCTATTGCAGTAATAAGTAGGATTGCAATACCTAGGGAGAAATATTTTTAAAATTACAGGAATAAACCTACAGCAAGTGGGAGGAGGAAGGGGTCATTAAACTCATTTTTATATCCACCAAAGGAGGTTATGTATTTACCCCTGTCTGTTAGCAAGATTACACAAAAATTAATGAATGTTTCATCCTGAAATTTGATGGAATAGTACATAATAATCAAAGTAAGACACCATTCAAAGACAAGGTCAAGGAAATTTTATTTTTTAACCTTGAGAATAAGAAATGGAATCGCCCCTCATATTCAGGTAGCACTTAAATATTGTGTTTCAATTCCATTATTTTCTTGAGGGTATGCAGCAGCACTCAAGAAAATAACGTGCCTGAATACGAAATGCGATTCCATTATTACTTTGAGGGTATGCTGCAATTTTGCCCATCATAACACTGCCTGTGTATTGTTGGTATTCCGGCACAGGGCGAAGGTATGCACTCCCAGAGTGACTGCTCTAGTTTTTTGACCTGGACTATTGCATTATATTTATTGTGACCTTGGCAAAGGGAATGTTTTCTAATAATATGTGTGCTTTGCTGTCAGACACTAAACTAATAAATATCAAATAACTACCAGGCTGTCACCATAGTAAATAGAAATCAATTCAACAAAATTTCATGTAGTATTAACTTTCCATGGAGGTTATACCTTCATGATTATTCCTAAGGGTTTTGTTTATACACGTGTTGTATAAAGAATATGTGTATGTTTATTTTTCTAGCAGTTGATTTATCAGTGTTTATTTACACCTTTTACTCTCAAATTTACAAATAATAATGACTTGTTGTTGATCAATAGCTCTAGGCCAGACCCTTGGGGCTGGGTGTTGTGACACATCGATCAAAGCTCCTTGTATGTTGTGCCCAGTGTGCTCACAAATATGATGGAATGTTTATTGATTTTATTGCCACTTGAATTAATGGGTGTATGCCAAAATTTATTCAATTTCTGTAAACATGTATGCATGGAATGTATGTAGTATATATAGAGTAGGACAGCCAATGTTTGTGGGACCTTAACAACTGTATCCAATATGGGTAGAGTTAATAAAGTTGGTTCATTTTTAAGAAATAATGTGTACAGTTAATGTGTTAATTTTTTTTTTATACAAAATTGACAAAATTCCTATGCATGTCTACTGCTTAATATTTTTTTCTTAAGCATATCTCTTGTAAGATTGTTTTAACTTTTTTTTTTTTGTGGTTACATATGTGTTTCAATGTTTTTATGTGTATTAATTAATCAATCATACTACTAACTATTTTGCCAAGATCAGATTTAGTCGCAAGTCAAAAAATATCATAATCAATCAGTCATTAATATTCAGTATAGCATTGTGATTCCATAGAATGTGGATATATGTATAGGTTCTTGTTACATTTTAACTTTTTCTTGTCCAAAGTCGTCAAATTCCTGCTAGTCATTTCCATGATGGGTAGGGCCAAAGCTTTGGCAAAGTGATTCTTCTCATTGCTCAAGAGATTGGGAAATCTTTCAATTTAACCAATCTTAATGAGAAAAATACTAAAATATAATAAAGGTATCCTTCTAATTAATGTCGCCTCCAATTAAAGCCCACCTCTAATTATAGACCACCTTTCTGCAGGCCCCAAATGATCATCTATCTTTTATTTTTAATGATACAGTACTTGATAATTAGCTTCAACCATGTGTTTTAGTGCAGTGTAGATCTGCACTTTAAGTAATCGTCTTTTTTTAAGTGTATCACTTCTAATCTTTGTGAGGGAAAGAGGGTGGGTAAGTAAGTATATAAGTAACTATCTACCCATATACTGCCAACATTACTGCTGATGTATCTAATTGTTTGTTCTTTTGTCTGTAGACTTTGAATCCCACCGAGCAATTACAACATATTGGTAATTTACGCCAAGCGATCAGGTATGCCACAGATGACATAAAGGGTCAGGACTTGCCTGGATTCTGTTTACCCGGCAAGGTAAGTAACCCAGTGTAATTTCAGTGTACACCTGTTTTTTATTTCCAGAGTAATCCTTAGGATTTATTAAAAAGTTAGATACAAAATAAACATGATTATTTAATTATCTAAACATGATTATATACTGTATTTATTTGAACTCCGCAGAACCTTTATTGTTGAGAGGGGTTTTGAGGGAGGCGTTTTTATTGTATTTTTGTTTTGTTATCAACCAATGAATAGAAGGGGACAACACAGTTTAAGTCATGGTTAAATAGTGAAAGGAGAATTGTTGTAGTGAATATCTTTCAAGTAACCACGTCAGTTATTACATGCAATTAGTATGGCTTTAACTCATTCATATCCTCTTTGATGATATTTTTATAATTATTTTTATTTATAGGGAATTACACCTGTGTTACCTATATTTAGAGAAGGTATCTTAAATGGACCTCAAGAAGCAAAGGAAATAGCAGCTAGCGGTCTGAGTGATGTGATTCGCTTCACAAGCGTTACCGCCCTCAAGCCTCAAGTACTTAATATCACAGGTCCTCTGATCAGGATTCTCGGTGATAGGTTTGTGTGGAACGTGAAAGTTGCGGTGCTTGATACGTTGGCCCTACTACTTGGGAAGGTACGTCAACAAATATAATTGACAAAAAGTATATTCTTTCCCCTCAAATAATTTGCATTGTTTTAGACCTTTTACTTAACTCTGAGAGGGCATACAGGCTCACTGACATTAAATTGTTTTGTCCCCCATTTATAAGCCCTCCATAAACTCCACACAGAGGATGTAATGTAATTTAGTTAGATTTGCATTACGCTTTATACCAAAGTGGTCTCTAAAGTGCTTGAGGTGCGGACTAGCTCTTACAGTTACCAGCTTTTCCTCCAAGGGACTCTTCTCGTCTCAGCTACCCGGTAAATAGGTACCACCTATACTTTTCTGTCTACAACAGGGCTGAATGGACCAGTACACCGGTGTACCCCCTACTTGTCTCAAAAGATGTACTGGATTCTTGAATTAACTTGTTTTATTTGTGGATTACATGGATAGACCCACATTTATATTAGGTTGTCACATTGTAATGACATTTTTTATTCATTTGTCATGTTAGGTCGGTATGATGCTGAAACCATTCCTACCCCAACTTCAAACAACGTTCCTAAGGGCATTGAATGATCCAAATCGTGCTGTACGTCTGAAAGCAGGTTCCGCTTTGGGAAAACTAGTTGTAATCCACACAAGAGTGGACCCTCTGTTCACTGAACTTCACAATGGAATAAAGAATAGTGAAAACGATATTGCAATAAGGTAGGAGACTGAAACTGGGTGAATACAGTAACATTCCTATCTGATACATTAAAAAGTTTGATCAAACTATGTATGATATGTATTACTTGTTTCAGATAATGCTTCAGACATAATCTGATCAAACATTTTGTATGGCTTCTGGCAAAAATATCAGAGAATGATGAGGACTTAAGTAGAGAAACTTGACATAAAATATAATGTCTAACCCAAGGGAAGAAGCCTATATATAAATTTGTTTAGATTCATGTTATTGTCATGTACATAAGGACATGAAGTTTGGTTTCCAAGGTTTAATATATAAAAATATGAATAAAAATATAAGTAACAAGCAACATGGGTTTCAATTCTCAAGGTTTAAGAGTCTAACTGTACTGGATTTGCTTGCTGTTCCCAGACGCTACATAAAAGTTGGTTTTTGTTTTGCTAAAATGTTGTTTTTAATGTAATACAGGGATTCCAAGTTGGAAGAAATTACTTCCCGGGAGATCTGTTTAAATGAGCTTAACACATATAAGTTTATTTTGTTGTGCATGGCAAACCTCATTAGTATACAGGATACAATTGATAATGCTGTATAGTAAAAACATGAAAGTGGCATATTATTTGCTGGGGATGCTGGAGTAATTTTCCGGGTGATTCTTCCTTGCTTGTGGGAGTGCTGGGGACTTTTCCCGGAGACTCCCGGGTATCCCTGGTAATATATAAGTAAAAGGTTTTTCTCCAAACATTCTAATAATCTACCTGCAACTGGTCATAATTGTAATGTCAGTTTAATACTTAGCATTTTATAAGAATAATGATATAAAAAAAATGTATTAAAACACAGGTTGCTGTAACACTGTTACTGCTTCTTTTCTGGTGGACTTAATCAATTTTTTTAAATTAAAAATTACCTTGTTAAAATATTTTGTTTATATGTTGTACAGCAGATTTCTCTAAGACACAAAAAGGATGTTTGATGAAAAACTTGATAATGGTTAATGAGATACATATTTTTTAATACAGTTGAACTTGCGTAAGTCAAATCCAAAAAGCCATTGAAATACTGTTTGACTTAGATAAAATTCGACTTACAGATTGTTAATTAATGGAAAAGACAACAATTTGGCATGTAAAATAAGATCGACTATTATTATTATTATTTGACTTAACTATCGTAACTTCAAATTCAGCCCTCCGGTGGATCTGATATTTAAAGTCTGTCTTTTTACAGGGTAACCATGCTTCATGCACTTCGTGGTGTAATTACTAACGCAGGTAAAAAGGCAGGGGAACCAATTAGGAAACTTATTACCGAAACTGTGCTGGAATTGCTGTCAAGTAAAGAGGTAAAACCATTATGATTACTGAATATAAATATAAGTATTTTGTATTTTATTAATTAAGTTAGTCTGGTATAGTTAACATTATCAATAAAAAGTGATATTAAATGAAATGTATTAAATATGTAATAATTATTGTTGTTTCTGTTGTTACTTGTACTGTTATTGTTATGACTAGCGATATATATTATTATTATTGTTGATGTTACTGTAGTTGCTGTTGAAATTATTGTTTTTGTTTTTTTTTTTTTTTTTTTTTTTTTTTTTTTTTTTTTTTTTTTTTTTTTTTTTTTGCTATTGTTATTGTTATTGTTTTTAAAGGACATTAAAACTGGGTCAAATTCCTACTTAAAATGTTGTTATCCGTAGTACAATATATTCAATTTATTATAGTGGATTGTTTTTGTTATTGCTGTTTTATTGTTGCTGTTATTAAGGACATAGCTTAAATCCTAATCAAATCACTCATTCTTTTAACAAATTATTAACATCAAAGTTTCCAAGTTGACTAACATTTGTTTGTAAATATGCTGGCTTAATTTTGACCTTTCAACAGAAATAACAATAATAACAATATGCATACATGTTTGTGTTGCTACTTAGTACAGTACTTGTAATTACTTGATTAGCTTTTTAAGCATGTCTCGTAGTCTTTTGCCAAACTTCCTTTTCCTGATATATTTCCTTATAAAACCTCATTAATGACTTTCTTTATTGATTCCATGAAGCGAATGAAATTCCAGAAAATGAATATATTATTAATAGCTTCTTGAAATCAGGATATGTATATTAGGATATTCAAAATGATTTTTACATATTTAATATGTTTAGAATAGAGAATGTGAATGATATAAAAATATATTTAAATTTCCTTTGTTTGAGATACATTAAACTCCCTCCTTTCAGAGACACCCCTATTAAGAGAACAGTATGGCCAGCCCCTACTTGGAGTATACACTACCTTTAGCTTATATTTATGTTTTAATGATATTTATTTGTTTATATGTGAGGTCGAAATGAGACTCATCGTTGGTGAAATCATATTGAGATATTCACCAAAATAGGTCACAGTCTAAATTTCTACAAATTGTTGATTTTAATGTTTTTTATTACTTATATATGATTGTATATTTTTTAATTGAATTTTCCTACTAAAACAGTGTTCTCTGTGCATATTCTGTAATTCTTATCCTTTTATTCAGGTTTGTTTATTTTTTAGGCCGATTTTCTTAAAGCATGGTTCTCATACACCTAAACTTTAAATGCTCACATCTCTGGATCTACTTATCCTAGGGAAGACTTATAATGTGATCTACCCAAATATAATATAAACTCAATTTTTTAGTTTATAACCATAACACTCATTTTGTGTGAAACCTCACATATGTGATTACTTATAAATTGAATTTGTAATACTGTATTTACAGATCTTCAATTTATTTTGATTACCAATGTTTTATTTTTGGTATAAAAAGTTTACTATGATTTTGTTTTTATAGGACGTATGTTGCATGACAGCTGCTGGCTGTGTTGGAGCCCTGTGTCGTGTGGTATCAGATGAACAGGTCAAGAAAATATTATGCAGTCACCTTCTAGGTAAGAAAACTCATCTCTGTATACAATTATTAAAATATATATACTCAACCATAGAACCGAAATTTGTTAAAAATAGAGAATAATTTCTCTCGCACGTTTTTTTGCATTTTTCATGTTTTCTAACTTCCACACACATAAAGTTATATCAATATTAAAATATAGAAGGTATACCATTTACTCTCCTTTTGCAGCATCTGGCTATCGTAAAACATAATACCTTCCCACCTTCCCTGATGCATGTGGGCTGTCCTTGAAAAGTAAAGGGCCATCCACCTTAATGCGTAGGCTATCCTTTGTTATATAGAGTAAATCCATTCCCCATTTTATTTTGCACAGGCTGTCCTTGTTAAATACTGTTTGTCTCTCCAATATATCCCCATACACAAAGGCTATCTTTGTTAAAACTACTCTCCCATCACCCTTCATGAATATAATAGATGTTAGTCTCTATTCTGCATTCTATCCACCCATTTCCCCCCTTATGCATACATATTCTATCTCTCCCCCCCCTCCCTATCCCTGGTGTCGCAACTCCACCCATCTTCATGCATACATGCTATCAATTCTAAAACGGTCGCTGTCTTCCCATAAAATACATAATAAATATTATGAAAATTTTACATTTGATTAGCTTTGCACAATCATGAGAAGTCCTGATGTGCTTGGCTGCATATATGTACCATTATCGTCAACTTACAATGTCCTGTCTTAATCCCCTATTCCCTGGGGGAGTATTCTTGAGTATTTTATTACACGTCTGCCTAGACTAATGCGTTCAATAGTAGAACATTCATTTCCTGTCCCCGTGGGAATTAATGCACAATGTTGGTAAAGTGCATTGTTGAGTGACACATGTATAGTGACATGTGCGGAATTTGAAGTTTCGGTCATTGGACTTACAACTCAAATGCCTAGCCACTGAGCTTCATTGGAAACATATTTTGCCATTTATCTATCTCTACCACCAGTGCGGTTTTCATAGTTGTTTGATATCTTCATTGTTACATACTTATTCATTTATTTCTTGTCTGATATTTTTACTATTGTAAATTGTATGTTTGTTTTGTTTTTTTGTTAATTTTACAGTATTGCAGGCTTCTTTGAAGTTTTTACTTAGTGAATGTTTTCTGAATTTTTTTTTTTGGTTTAATATTTTTACTAACTATATGATTCATTTTTTTATATTCTCAATATTATGAGATTTTTAAAATATATTTTTGTACTAATTTGTTTATTATTTAATGTATTTTAACTATAGCATGCTTCATGATTTATTCATTAAATTTTGCCATGATTTTAATGAATGTGTTTGTTATCTTGATATTGTAAATATTGTTTGCATTATGATACTTTTTATTTAAGCAGTGGCTATTGTTACAACATCGTTAAACCAATCTAGCATGTAGCATGCATGTTATTGTATGTTTGGATTGGATTAGAAAAAATAACATATCAGAATTAATAATTGGTTTAAGAGTGGTGTAACAATGGCCGCTGCTTTTTTATTTCAGTACTGTACATAGAATGAGAAGATGCACAAAGTAATAAATTAATATATTTCTAACCAGCTCAAACATATGTCTTAATACTTGGAAGACTTGTATCTAGACTTTAGTTGATTTAGTTCAATGTTATTTCAAACGTTTGTTATCTCAAACATAGCAACCATAAAATAGAATATTGTTAGGCACCACCCTCTATGTCAATAGAGATCTTTCATCTGAATTAAACATCTAAACTCTTTAAAAAAGGCCTGCATGAAATACGAACTGAGTATTATTAACATATTTCTAATTATGCTCATATCAAACATGTTAGCAACAATAAAATAGAATAGATTTTAATGCACCGCCCTCTATGTCAATAGAGACCTTTCAGCTGAATCAATCATGCACTCTTTAAAAAAGCATGCTTTCTTTTTTTCATTTAAATGCATGAAATATATTTCTAAGCATACTCAAACAACAATAAAATACACTAGAATTAATCACCGCCCTCTATGTCAATGGAGACCTTTCTGCTGAATCAAACATGCAACATATCGTTTACATGATATGCTGTCTCTTATACACATCTAGATGTGTATAAGAGACAGCACGCTGTATGCTTGTCAAAAGAAAAGCCCCTGTTTGTAATACCAAAAAGACAGCCCCTGTTTATAATACAAATAAAGACAGCCCCCTGTTTAAAATACCTTTGTATTCTTGTTTGTTTAGATGTTAGCAGTGACTGGATTCTACAGCATGGCCGTAGCGTTGCCTTATCAATAGCAATCAAAGAAGCCCCAGACAGGATTCTAACCGATGAACACCAACCAAAAATTATTCAAATTCTTACATCCAATGCAACAAATGACCGGGTAAGATGAGTCATTTATGTTAGATTATTCTATTAAAAAAATCTTCTGTGCATGCAGATATCTATATGAGGCTTGCCATTCGAAAAACCATCACCTGTTAACAAAACATGAAAATTGAGTTATTAAAATATATTCTTATTCTGTTAATATATTCTTATTCTGTTAATATATTCTTATTCTGTTAATATATTCTTATTCTGTTAATATATTCTTATTCTGTTAATATATTCTTATTCTGTTAATATATTCTTATTCTGTTAAAGTCAGGCTCTGGAGGAAAAACATTTTTTGATATGTTGTAGAACTGATTTTTCTAAGAGAGGTGAATGAGATACAGATTTTTTAATATTTAAAAACTGGGGGAAAAGGGGCGTAACTGCCCATTTTTTCACCTTATTCCCCCAGTTTTTAAATATTAAAAAATCTGTATCTCATTCACTGTTCCCCAGTTTTTTGTCAAACAACTTTTTTCTGTCTTAGAAAAATCAGTTCTACAAAATATCAAAAAAATTTTTCTCCGGAGCCTGACTTTAATATATTCTTATTCTCCACATTAATAGCTTTAAAAAGATAGGTCATTTACTGAAATTTACTTCCTATTTCCGAAGTTATGAGTAGAAGTATTATGGCTTTTCTGTACTAAGGTATACAGTATTGCCACTTTCTAATAGGCTAACTCATTTTAACATTTAGCGACAGTAGGCTGGTTTCGCGATGGCATGCCAGATATCAATAAGTTAATCTACATCAGAGATCTTATCGTGTATGTATTCATATATAACTTGTGTCTCTATATAATAGAGCAAGATAGTACATTTTTTTATAACAGGTTAACCAATGTTTGTGCGCTGAACCATGGAGATCGTTGTATTCCAGGTTTCGATTCCATGAAGTTATGTTATACTCTCTCTTTGGATTATCCATTATAGTACATTCTTGGTACCGGGTAAAACATGTCCCCTTTCAAAATACAAAATATTTGAAAACAGTGTTCACTCAAGTGGTATATTCGTAAACTGATATCAACTCATATTGACATACATACGTTATTAGGCGAGACTTTTTTTATTTCTTGTTTCGCGGACTTATTTTTTTTTCTTAAGATCGTCAGAGGAGAGCAGAAAAAAAAATTAAGTCTTCTCTTCTTATTTAGCCAATAAGTTTTGCCACAAACATCCAAGACGGAGGAGAAAATAAAAACATGAATTTTATTGGTAAATGTTAACAGTGGTAGTAATGGAAAGGTTGTCTTATTATACATGCGACATAAAAATTGTTTATTTTTCAATCATGTTTGCCTTATGTGCGGACTGTCCATAAGACACAAATGTACTGCTGAAATGAAGCTACTAACTGTATGAATGAACACTGTTTGAGATGCGGGGAAATAAGATTTTGATGAACATTTAAAATAAAAGCCCATAAAATGGTATTATTTGGAAGATTAGCCCTACATTTGGCTCCATGTTTTAAGCCAGCTAGATGAAGTATTAAGACCATAAGAACTGCAAAAATTAGGAATTCTGATGGTGAAAACAGGAGGTCGTCTTCAAAAATAGATATCACCATATAATACAAAGTGTAATATTCTTTACAAGGTTAATGTACACAGTATTGATGATGGAACAGTCAACAATAATGATTAATTTCAGTTATTTAAATCTCTACTCCGTTTACATAGATTCCAATATGTACAAGTGGTATACGAGGTCTGGGATTTACCCTTCAGCATCTCGTCTCTAATGGAATGAATGTTCCACAAGGGATTGTCACATCGTTCACAAAGGTAAGTTATTTGATGTTCTATTATGAACATTTGAGGTGTGCATTAGTACTGTGTTGCAATGTTTATGTAATATTTGAAATAAACTGTTACTATTAATTGGCTATATAACTATTAAATTTTTAAAAATATTTTTATGTATAAAATTTATTATCTTAAAAATTTATTATATTTTTTAAATTCTCTTTGATAATTTATTTTTTATACTTATACAAATGCTTTACCAAGGATTCTCGGATTATATTATTGTGGAAATTTACGCCTTTTTTGTATTTTGTGTTTATAATCTTTTCCCAAGTAGCATCAAATAAGGACCAGTTTCGTTTTCAACCCTATTTTAAAGTTGAATGACAGATCTCAGTAACTGTTGAAATAAGTATCAAAGGGACTTTTCCTTTGAATTTGAGGTCATTTTTCATGGGAAAACTAACTTAAGTTGTTGCTGCAAAGCACTTTTTTGAACCTTGTATAATTCACTTTTCACCTTGGCTTGACAACACATCTTGTTTAAATTGACACTGAAAAGCTCGTCATCCTTCTACGTTGACACTGTACGCTGGTCATTTACACTTCCTGGTACCAGAAATTGTGTCAGCAAAGAAAACAGTTTGAAACAATCGCCTGAAGTTGACACTGATTCTGGATGATAGAGTTTTGATTGTGAATCGGGATTGTAATGTGAGCACACACAATGAGAGGAAGTATGCTATGATACGATAAACTTGAATGCAATTTTCATCATCAGATCCTGTGTAAATACAGTAGTATTACATATTTATTTACTTACTGTATTTAAAATCTTTACTGAAGATGATTAATTTAGCATAGATGAACATTTGGGACCTCGAACCAGTTGTGTATCTAAGCGATAGTGGCGTTCACCCCTCTCCTCCCCCAGGAAAAATTTGCATTTCCTTTTTGCAATGAAAATCTGCTTATTCCATCTCTTTCACTTGCTAGTACTGACCTCCCTTTCTCCATCTGTCCACCGCACCCCCCCCCCCCAAATATCTGTGCTCTTTGATATGTCATTACCTCACATTGTACAATCAATTGCTTTGTTTATAATGTGATTATTGTTACTATTAACTTTTTTATGTATTATTTAAGCTGGGTTGATTTTCACCAAGATTGCGTGCAGTAACTAAAATACATGTTTCCCCTTAGTTAATGTCCTAAATACAAACATGTTTACACAAATAACATATTCATATTTTGTACATAACATACTGGAACATATAGACAAACAATAAGTACTTCTCCACTGTACGTTAATTCACTGCATGCATATTTCCCCTATAGCGTGCTGATAGAAGTAGAACTTAAATTAATTGTTGGATGTGGAGGAGACAGACACGGAAATATTGCACAAAATGTTCGTATTTGATATCAAGCATATAACCAGCGTGAAAAGTGCTTTGTGATAATTATTAGGGCAGTTGTTACATGACCTGCTGAATTTATGATTGGCTCACAATTAAATAATTCATCCCTCTATGTCTGTTTAAATTGAAATATCCATTGGCTACAATACTGATCCTAGACGTGTGCGGCCTTGGCATGTGTTCCTTAGCCTTGTGTAGATTTATTAATGTTTCGGTGACAGTTACGATGTCCTATACTGTACATGAGTGTTTAACTCCATGACTCTTGTGAAATTTTAAAAAAAAGCTTAAAAAATAAAATTCAATGAAACATGGAATTAGTAATTTAAAAGGATAAATAATCAACTACAATACAACACACTTCAGTTTTCACTATTTTATGGACTTTAGTACGGTAACCCTTAAATTTATTAGTCATTTTAAGTTTCTATGCCCAGAGTATAGGAACATTTTTATTTATATATCTGTTTCAAGTGTATCATTTTCATTTTGAATTTAGGGTCATTCCATGTCAAATCACCCAATGGATTTAACCACATATTTTTTGATTTTGATGAAACTTGGTGTACTTGTTTAGTGTGATCTCGCAGCACGAAATCTCAAATTTTAGGTCAATCGGTTGAGGGGTGGAGGAGACAGACACGGAAATATTGCACAAAATGTTCGTATTTGATATCAAGCATATAACCAGCGTGAAAAGTGCTTTGTGATAATTATTAGGGCAGTTGTTACATGACCTGCTGAATTTATGGTTGGCTCACAATTAGATAATTCATCCCTCTATGTCTGTTTAAATTGAAATATCCATTGGCTACAATAATGATCCTAGCCGTGTGTGGCCTTGGCATGTGTACCTTAGCCTTGTGTATATTTATGAATGTTTCGGTGACAGTTACGATGTCCTATACTATATGTGAGTGTTTAACTCCATGACTCTTGTGAAATAAAAAAAAAAGACCTAAAAAATAAAATTAAATGAAACATGGAATTAGTAATTTAAAAGGATAAAATAAGTAATCAACTACAATACAACACACTTCAGTTTTCACTATTTTATGGACTTTAGTACGGTAACCCTTAAATTTATTACAGTCATTTTAAGTTTCTATGCCCAGAGTATAGGAACATTTTTATTTATATAACTGTTTCAAGTGTATCATTTTCATTTTGAATTTAAAGCTAATAACTTCAATAGACACATTGAGGTTCATGGTTCAAGTGTATTATTAATCAGTACAGTGAGTGTATTAAGGTTTAGTAGGGTCTGCAGAATGAGGGTGGGTGGGGAGGCGGTGGTTAGTGCTACCATAATTTTTAGATTGTGTGGGAACAGTGTCGCTAAGTGTCTTTGGATACTTGTAAACTGGATAAGAGCTAGTGTAGCTACATAGCTTGTGTCCTTGGGCTAGCATACTTTTAAAATCAATGTTTCTCCCCACCCAGGATTATAAATGATGACTAAGTTACTGATTTGAAATGAATTTTGGTTATGTCGAATGATAGCTTTGTGGTTATGAATGTTCCACGTTAAGTATAGGAGTTTGTGCTATGATGTATCCGCTATTTTAAGAACAAACAAAAATGAGTAGGGACTTTTTTAATAATCAGGTAATCAGGTTGTTAAATACTTTAAATTTATACAGTATATTTATTATTATTGGAGATATCCGGGGAAACGGAGGGCATAATAAAAATAAATAAAATTTCTTTTTTTTTCTTTTTTTTCTGAAATTTCCATTTTTATTATTGGCAGATCGGAGGGTATGTTAAACAAGGTATAAAAAAGATTTGCCTAGTTTATGGTATTATGTCTTATACAAATCTAACAAATAGAATAATAAAACAAGTAGTGGGATCTGCACTTTCAATATTAAAATCAGTGGCTTTGCTTTAAAAAGAAAGATTAAGATTTTCTTATCCACATAATATGAACCACAGTTTTTTATTTATTATAATATGATGTTTGTTTTTTCCATCTTTCAAACTCCAAATATTTTTAAATCGATTAGTGTGAATCCTTTTCTGGACGGGATATGAAAATAAGAGAAACAAATATCCAACCCTGTAGGGATGTTAATCCAGATATAATCAATTTGGGATACAGATGCAACACACACATTGACGTAATAGACTCAGCTGGTGTGATCCCAAGCAGTGCTCCCTACTGGATATAACTCTATTTTACCAGCCATTGCCTGGGAAAGCATTTCAACAAACCACCAAACTAGTTCAGTTTTTTTTTTTTAAGCTTCATTTTTATTAATTAAGAACAGATTTTTAATTTTGTTGTGTTTTTGTGTACGAAAATTTGTCTTGACTTGTTTTCGTAGGGTTTTTTTTCTAATTAATAATTAGATTAACTAGCACAACAGGAAGCTTAAATGTAGAAGCCAGATGCTTTAATGAGGAAAATCACAACATGATATGTTAAATATCAACTAAAAGCATGACACCAGCGGATGCTTGGATCCCATGTAGGAAATACATTTCTTCTGTCCTCGACATTTTCATTCGGAAATAACAAATTAAATTTTTCCCTCTTTACTTTTAAATGAGTTGGTGTATGTGAATAAATTTGCTGATTCAAACAGTTTTGAAAGTTTTTTTTTAAATATATATTTGTGTAGTTATGAAGTACATGTTACAAAATGCTTGATTTTTTAAATATAGTTAGATTGTTGTGGCAGAGTGATTGAGGTGCACGGCATCTGAGTACAGGGGTGGTTGTTCTATTCCTTTTAAACCCATCATTTTTATCAACTAAAATACATTCCTTACAAAAGCCATAAAAGTAGTAATATAAAAAAGGAGGAGAATAGAAAAAATAATGAGTCCAATATGGGTTGAATAAGGAAAAATAAAATTAAAAGAATAAAAAAATCATGATAATGAAGAACAGGAGTAAGGAAAAGGAAAAGAAAAATATTAGGAATAAGAATAAGTAGGTGAATAAGGAAATGAAGTATAAATGGAAGGAAAAGAAAAAGGAATTTAAAAAAAATTGAGAATAACAAGAAGTAGACAAATGACAAAAAGGGCAAAATAAGGAGAATAACAAGAAGAAAAAAATAGAACAATGAACAGAATTGGAAGAATGAGGAATGGAGAATAAAGAAAAGCAGTAAAATGAGAATAGGAAAATTTATGATGAATGAGAAGATTAGAGAGCATAATGATAAGAATATTTGAAGCATAGCCCTCAAATCATCAGTACACCCCCCTCCCCCCACCTTTTCCTTCAATATATAAAGTATTACATGTCAAGTGTCTATATTACAATAGTTTAAAAGAGTATAGCAAATTGCCATAAATGGTACTTTTGATTTGGTGGTATATAAATTAATGAACACATGTTGGAGAACAGTACTTTAATAGACTCAAGCTTAAAAGAAAGGAAGAATATGTAATTCACCAAAAAACACCAAAATATTTAGAAATTGACAAATTTGAGTATCTCATTATGCAGAAAATAAGGTTATCGTGTACCTTTGCACTTTTAAAAAGTTCTTTCATAACTACAATCGTATGAATCATTATCTGCTGCATCTCAGCCACATTGTGTCTTCTGACCCATATGTCCTTTGTTGTGACTCGGTACGACTGAAAGGAAGCCTGGCT